TTATTTCTACGTTTATCAAATTCGCGGTTTTAATTGGTCAATCAACAAATGTCATGAGTTAAATTTTTGTGTTCCCTCCTGTTATTTTTTGCATTAGCCACGTCGATCATTACATATTTGGAAATTCTAAATTTGGAAAGAACCCTGACTGTAGTGTGTAATCCCCTTAATGATATTCATGATATTCATGAATAAAAACCCTACCGTGCACTGAAATGGCCTGAGAGGAATTTCTCTATGAAAAAAACAAAAAAAAAATGTGGGGACAGCCATCTAATTTGTATTTTTTTTGAATTGATAAAATAGACTATTGTCTTGACCTGAGTGATGTTGTTGTGTGAATAAAAGACACAAAGCCCACTGTCACGTTTTCATTTAAAAACTTGTTTAGCTTATAAATATTTTAATTGGAAATCAAAACATGGAGCAGATCATTGCTGGGTAATTACAAGATTTCATTGATAATATTTCGCTTTGCATAATCAATAATAATAATATTATAATATTATATTATTATAATTACAAGATGTCAAGGCAATACACTGTTTAAAAAGAAACAATTTGATATGCGATGTTTGATTATCAGAAATTTTTAGAGACATTGAAGCACACATGCTACCTTGAACACTTTACAGTCATTCATACATGTTCCTCATGTACACAAGACTAATCTGACTTGCGATGCCCGATGATATGATGATGCAACAGAATTCCAGGGGGGGGGGTTGCCACTACCACCAAAGAAAGAACCAGCTCATAATTATCATTTGTTTATTTTCTTTACTTTATTTCTTGAATCAAAAAAAGCACCAACACCACCAACAACACCACCAAAGAAACCAGATGATTGTAATAATCATTGTTTATTCATTTTTATTCCTTGAACAAAAAATGATGTTTTATTCATTCATTTATTTATTTATTTATTTTATAGCACCACAAGAAACATCTCATAATTATTATTATTTTATTTGGTTTTTCATTTTTATTCCTTGGATAAAAAAATAATGCTACTGCTACTGACATGCCAGCCACTAATACAACTAGTCCAATTGCCACTGTTGGAACAGTTGCTCAATTGTTGCTACAGTTATTAAATATCAGTACATATATTAAAATTTGTTAAAATATATGATTTATGATTTTTTTTCTTTTCTTTTTACAGGTCCTATTTCTAGCTCTAATCCATCATCATCACCAGGTGATTCTTTCATACAATTAATTATACAATTAATTATACAATTAATGTATAATTAAATATAATTAAATTATATGAAATCCATTAGCTTCTAATAGTAAAATTACCACATCATATATACCACCACCCTCTTCATCTGGACACCTTGATCTGTAACTCTTGGTTTATAATTTATATAATGTTGCTACATCATTATTTATTATTGGTGTAACACTGCTTTATTTAATTGTCGCTTAATTAAATAATAATAATAATAATTGGGTATTTCTCTTGGTAGAAAAACAATCCATAGAATTAATGATTTGTAATTGTAATTGTAATAATTTTAGATTCTTGATCTTTTTGATTTTTTGTAATTCTGTTAATGTTAACAGTACAGTTACAAGTGGACTTATTTACTATTATATGTGTGAAATTTAAACGATAATAAAATAATTTAATTCGTAATCCTTTTAAGAAGGAGTGTAGCCGATAAGTTTTGAAGCTTGAGTCATGAACAATAAAACTTATTGGTTAATTTTTTTTAAAAGAAAATTACATATATACCATTGAAGTTTTATTCATTTTTTTATCTATCATTATCTTTATTTGTACCAAGAACAAAATGAATAAAACTAGCTCAAAAATATTGATAAGCTTTATTTTCATTGTTAAGTTCACAAGTTCAATTAACATTGAATGTTTACAAAAAAGTCAAGATCCGAGTAATTATAATTATCTATTTTTTTATATTTCGTATTTGATTTCTCATTTAAGATTCAACACCTGGATTGACTTTTAATTTAGCACCACCAGAAAAACTAAAGGATGGTCGTGATTATTATTCTTTTGGTTTTTTATTTATTAAAAAATGAAGTTATTTGTTTATTTTCGTTTTTATTTCCTGAACAAAAAATGATGTTTGATTATTTATTACAAAGTTATGTACTTGAAAGTCCTCTTTTTTGACCTTAGTGAAGTCAAATACCTTGATGCATTGGTGGCTTCAAACGGCCTTTCATTGATATTGCTAGTCCTGAAAGCCAACAAGAGAATTATATGTTACGATAAAAGTAACAATTTAATTTTTTAAGTGTAGAATATGAAAATAATTAATTTTAATAATTTTAATCCTGATACATCGCATAAAACAAATCAGTTGTAGAAGATCTGAAACCCTTTATTTTATTTAAAAAAAATATTATAATGGAGAATTATTTGAAAGTGCTAACATTTTTCAAATAGTTTAAAAGTTAAATAAACATCATTGCTGACACACTGAGCATGATTGCTAAACGTAATAGTAAATAAAAATTCACATAATAAATACTATGTATGGCATTTACATAAGATGTTTATTGCTCTCACCAGTACTAATCTTATTTTTTTCAGTCAAACCATCAAGGAAATCCGAATTTATAACATACTCTCTTAGAATTGTTTCCAAAGAATAGAATCTTATGGTAAGAGAGATAAGATGATTTTCAATTTCTGAAATATCTGGATTTTTAGACTTTTTATAATGTAATTGATTTTTTTCGGTTAAAGGAATTATTGGTAACTTTTTTTCATTTAAAAGCTTTTTTTTTGATCTTGAATTGCAACAATAGTTTTGAAATATTCCCCATGGGCTCAGGAGTGATCCTCCTGTTTATTTAAAAATTAATTATTATTTTATAATTTATTAAAAAAGAATTCATAAACTTACCAAATAAAATAGCATAAATTCCTAACAGTAAGCTAATTGCACCCCCAAGTGAACCGATATTGCTTAAGACCTGAGAAAACAAAACTTGTTTAATTATCAGATATATTTTAAGTTTGATATTTAACAAATATATAATACTTACAGTTTCGGATCTATTAACGATAAAAAATTTGTTAGAAAGTTCATATTAGAATAAAATAAAAATATTCAAAAATTTATGCAATCACCTTTTTTCTGTTTCAATAGTTTCAAAGAATCCACTTTCAGCATTCCCATATGGCATAATAATTATTTGAGTCCAATTAAATCCTTCCATAGGTGCTTTGAAATCAGAAGAGGTTAAATTACTATATATTGGAAAACTTTAAATAAACAAAATTTGTAGTTACTTAATACTATTGGTACTGCAATACGAAGTGGAATATGATTATTAGGAAAACCTAAATGATTTGTCCAATCACGAATTAAATATTCTCTTCTAGCCCATTTAATATAAAAATAATTACTCTAATTTTAGATTATAAGTTAATGACTTTAATTACAAAATATTAAAATATTAATAACCATTGGTGTATTTAATAGATACCTTGTTTCCTTGGACAAGTTCAAGGTCTTGGAGATAATCTATGTATTTTTGAAGGTTAGCTTGATCTGGATATTTCTTTTTGATATCATCTAATTCTATTTTGTTTGACAGAATATAATAATAGTTAATCATTAAATTAAAGTATGTAATTTTAAAAGCTTTATAGTTACCTGCACCAAAAGAAATATAATTGAAATCATGTCCAGGAATATAATTCCAAGAAAGGATCACGTAACCCCGATTATCATCAACATTCATATTTTCACTAGGAGTAAATTTATACCTTCCATTGTCAAACAATTTAAGATTGGCAGAACAATCAGCTAAGAAATAATTTTATTAATGATATGTCAAATTCAACAATTAAGTTTATTATTAGAAATATACATACTAATCGTATCAACAAGTGTAAAAGCACAATTAATTGTTGTTGTTATATTATTAAACTGAGTGATATTAAATGCTTTTAAAATAATAAGAAAATAAATAATTTTGCTAAAAAAAAATTCCAATAATATTTACTAGCATATACATATAGTACCTGGGAATTTTTGCGAGACTAATTTATCGTTAGAATATTGAATTGAAGGCTCATCATTTATAATCAAATTTATTGAGACAACAATGTATGCAATTAATCCAATTAAAAGGATTATTGAAACAACAATTTTAGTCCACCATAATGACGTTGGTTCGGTCTTTCTCCGTTTTAGTGATATCATTTGAAAATTTTTATTAGTAAAAAAATAATTGTCCTAAAAAATCTCCGTCATGTTGAGTTATATAGTAATAGTAATAGTTTCACAATGAAAATTTACAAAAGCAAATGTATGACAGTGACTTTTATTTATTTCTATTATTATTTGAATATCCAAGTTACATTGAATGGTGGTTGTTTGAATAACAAATAATTAAAATGTGCATTACCTCAAATAGAAATTCTATTACTATATCATAAAATTTTCCCTCAAAATAGAATCTTACGCCTCCCTATAATTAAAACCACGACGCATATCAACAACACACATAAAAACATAGTAATTTTTATTCCCAAAAGATTATATTTTACTCGATTATACATTATGGATATTATTTATAACAAATAATAAGAGCTTTAATAAAAAAATGGATTTGATAATAGTAAAAAGAATAAAAAGATAATGTTTCGACTTATGACGAAACCTTTTGACTTTTGCACAGTTGCGAAACTCTCTAGTTTTGGAACCAACACTAATTATAGCATAATGGTGTTTGTTGTTCATGGTATTTGCTATACATGGGTCGATAATTATCATTCATGCTCAAGGACTACAATTGTTGTTGCTATGATTTTTATTGAATAATTATTATATTTGTATCAATAAATAGCTGGATCATATTATTATTACGATTGTGATTACAATTATTAATCGTACTTGTGATATTATTTTAACATTACTATTAGTATTATGATAAAGATGAGAATGATGGTTTAAATTGAATGTGTCGAGGAGTAATCAGAGACCCGTTTATTATGTTCGATGTAGTTGTAAAGTTGTAGTAGCAGTGGTAGTGATATTAGAAGTTTCTGTCGCTATCGATTTATTATTATTATTTTTAGTAGAACTGAGATTATTAAGAATTGAACTAAATCTTGTACGAAACGATAGTTCATTCGTTTTCTAAGATTAAAAGCTGATCTAGTATATTTTCTTGAATAGTTAAATTTGAATCCATAAAAATATCTAGAAGGATGAATGTGAGAATTTTTAATGTCATTATCCACCATTTCAATTGTTGTGAAGAACGTGGAACTTATCGAGAATGATGGTATAGTGATAGATGTAGAAGGAGAATAATTTGTTGTTGTTGATATGGTTTTCCGACGAGATTTTTTCGTTTATTAAAAAATAAATGTGTTTAAAACTCGGTTTTTTTTTTAAGCGAAGAAGCTGGCGATGAGTTCAAATTTGGAGTTGAAGTTGATATTGAACTTTAAATTTGAAGTCGTATTTAATTTAATTACGATAATGACGATACTTGATTTATTTAAATAATTGTTGTATCCTTCAATCAAAAAATTATGAACTACAGAATTACATCATTTTATTAATATTATTATTATTTGCACCGATGCTGGTGCTTAAGTTAATTTTGGGTTTCATTATTATTAATATATATACATCATTACATCATTATATAGCATAATAAAAAGATAAATTAAACTAATACATAATAAATAATTTATATATTAAGAAAAAAAATCACTAGAGCAATTGCATAACTTGGACCCAAAGCCGTTTATGAGTTTTTTTCTGGTGGAAACTATGCTACACTTTATTACTCTTATTATTATCATCTTAATAATATCTTCAATAATAATTGTATATAAACTACAGAATTTAATAAAAATTTATTTACGCGTCAACCAAGTAGTATGTTCTTATATATAAAAATTTGACAATTATTATTAAAAATATTTTAACTAATTAATTAATCACTATACAATAAGTGGGAGTTATTATTAATTGATTTGAGAAGATGAACATCATGTATTGACTTTGATTCTTGATCATCGTCGTCACCAACATTACTACACATCCAATTAGCAATTTCTTGAGGAATCATCATAATATTTTTCTGTACAGTCAATTTCAACTTTCTAATTCTTTTCCAATAATTTTTGAATCCATCCAATTTATCATTATCGTCGTAATCGTCATCAGAATATGGACATTGCTGCCTATTTTCCATAATAAATTTCCAAATACATTCAAATAATAAGTAACCAATATCATTTGACGTAATGTGTGGAAATAATTTTCCCACATGATTTAATGGTTCTGGTAAATATTTAGCCTAAAAATGATATTGTAGGTGAAAACATGAGTGTAAGTAAGTGGGCATAATAAATTAAAAATATAAATTACGTATATTAAATATACTATGTATTAATTCTTACCGTCTTCATCATCTCTAATAATCTTTCAGATGATTTTAATTCTAAAGGATAGTTATTTGGATTCTGATCTTTCACACGATACCAAAAGCCAATATTTATAGCAAGTAATGGTCTTAATATTAAATCAAAAACTTCTTCAAATTTATCATAATCTGCCAGTGTTAGAGTGGTAAAAAATTCCAAGTAATAAAAGCATTAGTCAATTAGTATCAACATTATATGGCAACATCAATAATAATAATAATATATTATTAATATGTATTAATGAATTACCATATGTAATGGATTGAAGTAAATCCCATAATTCTGGACTATCGTTAAACTTTTTTTGAATTATATTGTCTCTAATTCATAAAAAAAAAAAAACTAATATTATTATCCCATCTCATTTCCCCTCCTCTCCAAAAATAAAAAATTATACCTTTCAAATGGAATAGGTTTAGGTACAATCAATATATAATCGGTTAGCAAGGTTGGTGGTTCCACTGTTACCATTTCATCAATAAAAATTTTCACCAAAATATTCATTTTATCCTTATCAATTTCTAACAAATCTAAATATTATTATTTGCATGAAAGAAAAAGAAAAAAAATTTTTTTTAGAAAAAAGTGCCAAAAATTAATAACAACAATAATAATTGTCTTTACCTGATTTTAGAGTACAACATCTTAATAATCTACTATTTTTATTGGCAATAAATATTTTTGCATTTTCTGATATTCTAGATTTCTTTATAAATTTATCCTTATTGTTATCATTACTATTATTATAACTAGAATTAATGATATTCATAATAATGTCACTTTTAATATTACTATTGCTTCTAACTTTGTTACCAAAACCATAACTATTATTGTCATAGTTGCTGTTATTATTGTTGTTGTTGTTATTGCTATTAGTAATTCTTAAAACGTCCAATTTTCTAAGTCTATTAAATTCTAATTCTGTTAATTTTTCCTTTTCTTCTAAATCTGATGATTTTAATGGCCAATCTCTTGATTTTTTCTCATTCCTACTCACGAAATGTCTCACCATCAATAACGAAATAAATGAATAAGTTTCTTGTCTGTTTGCAAGTTTAACAATTATTCTTTCCATTATATTAGTCATATTTGTGATACTATTAATATTATTACAATTATTATTATCATCATAACTGGTGTTTTCAACCAAATCAAACCAAATGCTCATAATCTCTTCACAACATTTAACCATTTGTCTTGGTGGTAATATTTCATGAATGTTTGGTGTAAACCTTAATAAAAGCGATAATATAAACTTAATGTTTGATTCACCACCACTACTAATATCCATATTGTTATTGCTATCTTTATTATTATCATCAGTGCAATTTATTAGTGAATGCAGTATTTGTAATATATCTAAATATGAGTTTGTTAATTTATCAATTTCTTTAATTACATGATCATTCTTATTATTGTTACTACTTAAGAAAGAATCTTTTGCTTGGATTAGTAAATCTAAAGTTACTTTATTCTTCATTTTTATTTTTTTTTAAAAAGTTTATACGATCTTCCCCAGCGTAACCAGCAAAAAAGTACGGGCACGTGATTTTTTAGAGGATGATCTGACGACTCAAAAAACTAACCTCTGACCAAATTTGTGGTTTACTATAATCGGTGAAAATATTATATCCACCCAGTTTGCTTAATATTATTAATATTATATTAATAATAAAAAATGCGTATGCCGGATTATTGCTATTAGAGAGCTTTACCCAAAATTTTTCGAAAATCATGTTATAGTAACATTCCGTTATTATTATATCCATTATATATAGTGTGAACTGTATCTTATCATTTTTTTTTAACTGCTTCATCTTCATTCCCAGGCATCATTATATGGCGTTTTTTGTTTTGTATATTTATTTAATATATACCTTTTGATTTTGTTTAAAGTTTCTTCTCCAATCTGCTTTATGAAATTAAGTTTTACTTTTTAATAAGAGTTGATTTAATTGGTTGGAGGTTATCGAAAATCAAGGCAGATCACTCATTATTATTATTAAAAGAATCAACAATCAATTTTTCTTTTTTTTTTTTCTTAAAAAAAAATTTTTAAAATGCCAAGGGATCAGGAAAAAATGAAAAGAAGGAAGACATAAGAATGGTGGTGGCTATTACCACATGTCATCATTCTGGTCATTCTAGTTGATGCAACTTTTAATCTTATTTATAATGGATATGATATTTTAGCCAAGGAAAGGGTAGGGGTTTCAAATTTACTTGTTTGTTTGTTTGTTTGTTAACAATTTAGAATATTAAATTTGAATTTCTTTTTAATTTTAGACCAGAATTAATATATTTACTTTACAAATAACTAAATTTTTATCATCAGCATCTTTTAATTTTAACCGCAAAAGCAATTATAATGACACCAACAAGAGATCTGGCAAACCAGGTTTCATTCAGTTTTGAATCAGTAACAAACAATGGAGATATAAAAACATTATCTATTATACATGCTGTCCAAATCCAAAATCATTTGGGATTATGGAATCCCAAATAAGTTTTCTGGCCGAAACTCTCTTTATTAGTAGCCAAAATTGCCAAACACTTTGGGCAAAAATTACTTTTTTATAAGCCCAAACTATTTTTTGTTATTAGCTGAAATTGGGCGAAATTACTTTAAAGTTGTTTAAGTTAAATGGTATGGTTTTTTAATGTTAATGTTTATAAAACATGCTGAGAAGCCCAAATTGCCCAAACTAGTTTGGGCTTTGAGAAAACAGTTTGGACCAGAAACCTTAATCCCAAATCCACAAAGAAAATTTGGGCCAGCCTGTCAAAGAATTTCCAAACCCCAAACTGCTTCATACACCCATATCATTCTGTCTCCCAACCAATAAGTGCCTAGGACTTGTGAAAGTGATCAGCAACCCTTTTGTTACACTATATGCTTATTGGTTAGGAAAGCAGGGCAGAAAGATTGACCTACATTTGGGATTTGTACATTTGAGATGTATCTTGATTTCTAATTTGGGCAGCATGTATAATATCTATTCATGGTCAACAACCACAAAATTTATATAATGGTTTAATAGATATTTTAATAGGCACACTATATTAATAATGATGGTATAAAATTATCAAACTTAAAACTTGTTTGTATTGAAGAAGCTGATGATATGTTATATATTGGTTTTTCTGAACTAATGGAAACCATTTTGCAAATCATTAAACAAACAAAACAAAAAAGAAGGTTGAAGATCATCAAATATTTTATTTTTATTTCTGATACAATATCTGATTGGCTAAAACTAATAGCTGCGAAATATTTAAAAGAAAATTATAAGATATTGATTTGAATAAGGAATCCAAAGACCATTAAGAACAATAATATACTAATACACAAAATCCAACACAATTGTGTCACACCATGAACTTTTTTTGAAATTCTGGTTTATAGATAGTTTAAAGTGTTTTCATAAAGTATAATTTTTAATGTTTACATAATAGTTAATACATATATTAGTTAATACATAGATGGTTATAATAGTTAATATGCATAATAATATATAATATTTTTAAACATATTCATAACATATACATATTATATTGCTTTATAAAAATATATTTTTAATACATAATATGTAGATATTTTTTTATAAAATGCTTATTTTATTTCTATATAGTCATTTTGGCACTTGCTAAATATGGTAATAAAAAAGTTGCTGGGTTGGTAACTTTAACATTATATAACAAATGCGCAACAAAACTCTAATCACTATAAATAAAATTACTTTATTTCTTCTCAAGACTTATTGCCACCTGTATAATCAAATTGGTCCAGATTGTTGTTGTTGTTGTTGTTGTTGTTGTTGTTGTTGTTGTTGTTGTTGTTGTTGTTGTTGTTGTTGTTGTTGTTGT